TCATCATGAAACCCAAAAGGATCTCCCAGGTTTTGAATTTGGCACGAGTCCTGTTGTTCCTGCAAAGGAAGGAAGTGATTTACCCCTCAAGCTGGTACTGGGATGATTTGTAGGCTTTTACTTTTTGCTGGGTTGGGGATGCTTGAGTTTTTGTTGCCGTTCTATAGCTACTCCAAGCATTAAAAGAGGGCATGAAATAAACTGCCTAAAAATAACTGCCAGGGAATTATTAGTTGGAAGTCAAGGCAGGAGCCAGCTGCCTGAAAGCAAAGCCTCTCTGGGGGCTTTTGGGGGCCCAGAGGTACCACTGCACTGTGTCACTCCTCTTTCAAAGTCCAGTATTCCATGAAGCACCTACAACATCCAATCCATCCCCAAAGGAAAGATAATTTTCATTCCAATCCATGCAAGATTCCGTGTGACAGCTCCTGTAAGATGCAGAATATGGGATTGAGATGAAAATGCAAAATCAAGGTTTGTACTGTGTAGCCCAGTGCAGGGCAGTCCTGCTTAGCTGGGTGACTTTGTGCCATAGAGCATTGCTGTTAAATAATATTAACTACTAAATACACTGAAATAGGGTGCTCCAAGGAACTGGATGAGGGTCTTTCTCTCCTTGCCTCAGTTTCCCACTTGTCTTAGCACAAGTTATGTCTTAGCCTTGTTATCCATCAGAGGCTGCCAAGCACATTTCCAGGAATGGGATTTCTCTAACATGTCCCTAGACTTGATTCTGCAGAGGACAGAATGACAAATAATTTTATTTACCCACCAAAATTCACTCACTAGGGAAAATAAAATCAGAAGCAGCCGAGAAGGGAGGAAGGAGAAAGGAAATCAAAAGCCAGGTATGCTAAAACCCAATTGCTGGCTGACTGCACATCAGGGGAGGGAAAAATGTGCCATGAGCTGCTAGCTATAAAGATAATTATATCCTTGATGAACAACAGGGTCTTTTGGAAAATAGCTCTTCTTGACTGAATTAATGGAGGCAAACCACAGGCTTTAGACAGGCACTGGCAATGTCTGCACAGCCCTGACTTCACCTACCCCGAGTTCAAATCATCTCTGGCCGTGGCCACCATCAAATCCCTGCTCACAAGAGCAGGGTGGAAAAAAGGAGGGATCCCCACTGGATTCTGTGCACCCCCAATCCAGGGGCTGAGGGGAACCAGCCACATCCCTCCTGCCTTCCCAGGGAGGACTGTGGTGTCCAGCACTGCCAAACCAACACCTCAATCCAACGTTAGAGCCGGGTTCACAGTTATTTTTAAAACATCAACAAAGCACTGGATGCCACAGATGTTGGTGGGGTCTCAAAGGCAGGGAGAAAGGAGCAGCCACCACACTCCAGATCTCAGGAATGTGCTAAAGGCAAATATACTCTCCTTCCACCCCCGGGATTATTTTTTCCTTCAGCTATTTCAGTTGATTGAGGCTAAAATAAGAACAGGGAAAAGCAACACCAAGGTTAAAAGTGCCTGGCATTGGTTTGGAGACAACACACTGTGATCCTGCTGGTTCAGGTTTCAACGTGTGTTCAACACAGATTTTCTGCTACATGAGACAAGCAAACATTTTATTGAATTACCCTCAAGATAAAAAAAAATCACTGCCTGGGCAATCTCACAGATTTCCCAAGAAGAAGCACATAGTGAGTAAATATAAAAATCTGTTAGGGAGAAAACCAAAATAACCTCACTGTCACCTTGGTGCACCCATCACAGGATGCACACAGCAGCAGCTTCACCAAACACTTTCAGCACAGAGTTTCCAGACTGAAATCTGCTGCTGAGCCACGTGAGCAGCCCAGGAATCACCAGAATCATTTGTTTTCCTTTTCAACAGAGACTTCTCAATGTGGTTTTCCTCCCTTCCAGCTAAAGAGCAAACGGAGATTTTGCACCTCTCTGCAACTCCCCCCCACACAGCGCTGCTGCTTTCCCTGCAAACATTCCCTGAAGGATACAGGGATGCCCAGGGGGGTCACCCTTGCCTGAAACTGGGGGATTTTCACCCAGGCTGCTGCCTGCCACCCCACTGGGGTGCTTCTCTGAGGTGTCAGGATGTGTTTTCACATCCCCAAAACCTCATGCTGTAGAAGCACAGAGACAAGGGACTGAAACCACGAAGCAGCTTCATTAGTGGATTTGATGATTAAAAGCAGGCAGCTCTGTAGGCAGCATAATGGCAGACAGAGATGAAGATTCCTTGGTAATCACCCACCCACAGCAGGAACTGACCTGGCAAACCCCAGCCATGGCTGTATTTTAGAGCAGAAAAAGGCATTTAGCTATCTGAGTGAGCTGAAACGCTGCATTTCCCCTCTAATGGGATTTTAATGCTCCTCTCGCTCCAGCCCAGTGGTGTTTTGGTCCTTGCTTGGTGCAGGGTCTGTGCTGGGAGGGGCTCTGCCCACAACCACGGGTTTGGGGCCCAAACCTGCCCCGAACTCCCCCCAAAAAATGACAGAGCCAGATTCTGCATCCACTCAGGGAGGCAGAACAAAGTTGTCAGAGCAGAGCATTAACTCCCGATTTCCACCCACGGCTCTCCAAGACCTCCCCCAACTCTGCCACAGCCCCAAGGTGGATTTCCAGCCCCGTGAAAAGGTGAGAGATGCCAAGCCCATCTTTAGCCATTACGGGGTCTCATTTCATTCCACCCAGGCCATGGCATTTCCATTTGCATTTCCCGCAGCCTCCCGGGTCAGCACCATGGGGAGCCTGCAGTGCCGGTGCTTCACGGCTCTTGAACTCACAATTCCAGAGTTGATAAACGCAACCCTGCTTCTCAAAGCCAAGAGGCTCCCATTCCTGAGCAGATCACAGCCTCCAGCCAGCCCGAATGCAAATCCATTTCCTGCAGGGAAACCACTGGCACCCATGGGAGCAGTAGGAGGAATTACAAGGTGGAGGCAATTTTGCTGTCCCTAATCCACATGCTTCTTTTGATGCATAGGAAGTTCTCAGTCCCCTCCATGCTCTCAGAGGAGGAATGTTTTACTTTATTGTCAGGGATTTCTAAGAGGGCACTCTGTAAATATCGAGGAAGATTTTCTCAAAGAGGCAGCAGCCTTAAATTCAAGTTGAAGGGGAGCTTTAGCTTTTGCTAAAGGAGGCACTCAAACTGCAATCAGGGGCAGGCATTACCGAGTGTGCTTTGGGCTGAGAGATGACACATAGCACTTTAATTCCTGTTCTCCAGCAGAGCTCATAAACAGTGCCCAGAAGTTTTGTTTTTAAGAAAGCATCATTTTCTGTAGGCTACACAAACACAGTGCTGCACAGCACAGACAGAAGATGCACGGAATCAAAAAGATATTAATGTTTTACTGACCTTATCTGCAATTGCCTCTTACCTCTCACAGTAATAGCTACACCCAAAAGAAATCCAAGCAGCCCGGCACTGCCCTTCAACACCAAAACACAGCAGAGAACCATACCATCATCACTGCCCCAGGAACAGCAAGAGCCTGCCTCATCCCCTCCTCCCTGAGCAGCCTCTGCAGCCAAAACCCAGAAAAGGCTCATTTTGCCATAACAGAAGTGGTTACCTTGGGGTACAGCTGGATCCCTGGCCTGCTGAACCCCACTGGGGTTTTTAGGATGGCTGATTCCCTGACTGCCATTGCTTTTTAAAGACTGCAGCCAGTGGTGAAATTTCTTAAAACTCAGGCTTTACGAGAAAGGTTTTTCTTTCAGACACGTCCCTTAAAAATAAATTTTAAATGTCACTTTAAAACACCTGCATTGGTGCAAATCACCGTGATTGCTGGGCACTCGGCTGCCACTTGGAATTTCAGTGCAGTCCTGAGTGTAAAAGCAGAAAGGTGTAAAAAAACCGGGTCTTTCACTAAATGTGTTCAAAATACAAAATCCCAGGAGGAGAATGCAGTGAAAAACACATCCACAGCCCCAAGATTAGCTGCCACTGGGCACCTGGTTCACACAGGAGGCAGCATCCTGCTGCTCCCAACCCCACTGGAGATGGACAGGGGCAGCCTGGAGGAGTTTTAAAAATTACAGCTCCCCAGCCAAGAGAAGGGAGAGTCAGGCAAAAGAGACGGGCTGGGAAAGCAGAGCAAAGAGAGAAATCCTAGCCAGCAGGAGATAGTGCTCCCTGCACAGGGTTCTGCATCCAGGAACGTGCAGCCTTTCCCTGCGAGCCAGCAGGGGAATGTGCCTCGTCCAAGGGCACGGGCTGCTCGTGCCCCGCACAGCTGAGGAGCAGTAAATAGTTAATTAAATAGTTAATTACATCGTACAGATCAGCTCGTTATGTGCAGCACGGCTCGATGCATTATGCACCGGGCTTGGGGGAGAAAACCGGCACAGGGGAAGGAAGGAAGGGAAAGAAGGAGAAATTTGCGCTGCCTCAAGGAGCACTTTGATTTTGTGGGAGATCAGCGTTAGGGTGAGGGGCTGCGGTTTCCCTTTGGAACACCTTAAATAAACACACCTTTACACAGCACCAACATCCCTCCGAGCTCTTGCTGCGGGTACACAGGCGACAAGCACGGCACAAATCCCTACCTGTTGCACTGAAATGCCAGGGGCAGCAAAGAAACCGAGGCACGGTGCATCCCAAGGAAACAACCCCACCACCGGCAAACCCAGAACACCCAACCCCAGCTCTTCTGGCTGCCCCCTCTTCCCTGCGGCTCAGCATCGGGAAGACAGACTCCAAAGGCAGTAATTAACCATTTGCAACAAAAGGCACGGACAGGAGGCAGAACTCGCCTCGGTCCATCTCACCTAGCAAGCAGGGAATCCCGCACAAAGCAGGCTGCGTCCCACAGCACCACCACCTCACTGCTCCTGGGGCCAATTTCCCCAGTGCTGTGTCGGCAGCGAAGCCGGGCTGGAGCCTCTCCGGGCGCCAGGGAGAGCGGGGAACGCGCGGCGGCGGCGGCCGGGGCTGCACGCCCGCGCCCGGGGGGAATCCCGGGAGCCTCTCGCAGCGGCCCCGGAAAGCCGTGTGGCGGCGGCCGCACTTACCCAGCACGAAGCAGAGGAAGCGCCGCGGGAGCAGGGCCATGGCCCCGCGGCAGGAGCGGCTCCGCTCCCGGGGCCGGGCGGGCTCCGCGCCCGCGGCGCTGCCGGAGGGGCGGGCCCGGCCCCGCCCGGATCCGGCCCCGCTCTCCCGGCGCTGGAGCAGCGGGAAGCGGCCCGTGGGGGCGGCGGGATGGGGGCCGGGCTCTCCGTATCGCCCCCTCGCAGCCCAAAGGCGCGGCGAAGGGAGCCCACAGTTCCGAGGGAATGCACGGAGCAGTCCGGCTTCCTCCCGCGCTTCCTCCACCGTGAGCGGCTCCGCTCCCGGGGCCGGGCGGGCTCCGCGCCCGCGGCGCTGCCGGAGGGGCGGGCCCGGCCCCGCCCGGATCCGGCCCCGCTCTCCCGGCGCTGGAGCAGCGGGAAGCGGCCCGTGGGGGCGGCGGGATGGGGGCCGGGCTCTCCGTATCGCCCCCTCGCAGCCCAAAGGCGCGGCGAAGGGAGCCCACAGTTCCGAGGGAATGCGCGGAGCAGTCCCCACGCCCTTCCTCCACCGAGGGGGTTTCTCCCTAGCTAAAATCCCTGCCTTCCCCCTCTCCAGGGCTGAACGCACACATGGAACGCGATTTTGAGGAGAAATGTTTTGTGGATTCCGCTTTTTGTTGGAGTGTACCATCGCTCCCGAGCTCCTAGAGCTCCACCTGCAGCTCGCTCCCAGCTGTGCCTGAGCAGCAGAGCCCGCCCGGGCTCCTCGGGCGCTCCGGATCAGGGTACGGCCCTGGGAGCTCCGGATCAGGGTACGGCCCTGGGAGCAGCGCAGGAGTCTGCCTGCAGCCAGGTCACTGCCCCACAGCTCGCGCTTGAAGTCGGCTCTCTCTCAAAGATCAGTAAAAAAGGGAACGTGCAGGAACAGCAGAGCGTGCTAACTGGAGTCTTTCACATCCTGCACACTTCTGCTTTCCCAGGAGGAAGAGAGCAGCTCGCAGGCCGGAGAGCCGGTTCTGCCCGAGCTGTTAGCACCTGCCTAATCACAGAGCCGGGCTCGGCGAGCAGAAACAGCAACAGCCGCTGCTGCTGAGGCGGAAGAGCAAAGGCCGGCACTGCTTCCATCCTGACAGACCCACAGACACCAAAGCTGAGGCCTCACCTGCAGCACCAGGACCAAGGGCACGGCCCAAAGCCTCGAGCAGAGCAGCAGAACAGGTCTGCAAACAGCACAACACTGGCCCGACTCTTTTGAAGAACAAACTTTAACCTTTATTGACAGTAAACAAGGCTGTTCTTTCCAACAACAACCGCAGCAGGGTCTAGAACAAAGTACAACACAGAGACTGAGTTACTATAGGTGAGCTCTGAGCAGAATCACCTTTCTCTTAAAGGTATTACATACTTGTTCCTCACTATGGAAACTGGGGATTCTTTTTCTCCCCATTATTTACTAATGACTTGGCCATTTCACACCTCCCTCATGATGAAAATAAAAATTATTATAAGTCATCATCTCCCACACAAAACAACAGAAAAAAATACTGTAATAGGAACAATTAGGACTGCAGAGCCCATGCATCAATGGAAAACCAAATAATCACTCCACAAGGAAAGCACAACACATTTTGAGGCTGTTAAAACCTTACTGACTGAAAATGCTTCCAATCATAGGATTTGAATGTTTTGGGGATGAGTTTCTGCCCCTATCTGCAGTCCTGTGAAAGTCAGAGAGGAGATTAATATGAAGAATTTTCCTTTTTTGCAGGAAACCTGGCAGTGGCACTGCTAAGAGGTACCTAAAGCAAGCACAGCACCAAGCAAGGATGGAGAGACACCTCGCTGGAATTCCGGGCTGTGGTTTCAGCACCTTCAGCTTGCTGCAGCGCCACACCACCGTGCAAAGGGATCGGAGTGAGGAAACCACAAAACACAGCCCGATTGTGTCAGGTTTCAGACAGAAATCGTCAATGTCTGGATCCCGAACAGAGCCAGGGCTGGGATTTCTGGAAGAGAGCCTACACCAAGCCTGGCCGTTAGGTGTCAGCTGTGCACCGAGCACGGGTGACAGTGCCCTCCGCACAGCTCGTCAGCAAAGCAGTCCGGCTGGTGGAATCCAAAATACAGGGAGTTCTCACAACTCTGGGCCTGTAAGCCAAAGCTTAGAATTAAACACAGGAGTTGATTTGAGACCTTGGAAAAGGCTTCCAAACATAGCTGCTAGAAGCAAGAATGTGGATTTATAGTTTAAAACAGAGACGAGTTAAGAAAAGTTTAGAGTTTTAGATATAGAAAAAATAAAAGTAGTTACAAAGATAAACAAGGAGTTTAGAATGCAGTGCTGTGGGTTTGTGTATCATAACATGACTGGCTAAGAAAGCTTACATTGTAACAAGGGTCCCTAAGACAAAATATTTAAAAATTGGGTCAAGAACATAACTATCCTTGTTAAGAGTGTTTTATTGGTCAATAAAGCCTTAAAAAGTCTTATGACTAAAGGTCTTGTGACCTTCTGTACCATGCAGTAAAGATGTGAGCCAAACTCAACCTTCCTATCTATATGTAAGAATAATAAACTGCATCATGTAAAAACTCATTGAGGTCCCATCTCTAACTCATTTAAAATTCCTTCCAAGATCCCCATATTCCCTTAACCACCAGTTAGATACAATACAACCTGCTTTAGAGCTCCCAGTCCTTACAAACCCCTGCTCCAGTGGATTCACCCAGCACCTCCTGCCGGGCTGCATTCATCTAGTCAGGCTGCAGGGTGGGTCATTCCCTCAGGCTGGAATATTCACCTTTTTCAGTGCTTCTCCTGCTGAGAACACTTCCTCAGAATGTCAGAGGCCCTCTCCTCGATGGAACTGATGGCCAAGCCACTCAGGACACCTTTGTTCATTTTCCTCACCTCCTGCACAGCCCCCACAATTTCATTTCTGTGGGAATTGAGGAAATAACTGTTAACATCCCATTTTGTACCACATATTTAGCAGTAGTTATTGGCATTTAGCAACTGGGTATTGGCTCTATTACAAATCAGGGCTGAAAAGAACCCCAAATATCTCACCTGCTAAACCCTGGATGCTTTTCCTGAAGTCTCTTTATTAACTTGGTAAAGCTGCTCAAGTTCAGTGCATAAGGAGAAACAAAGACACCAGATGGGTTCACAGAGGAAGTTTTCTGCAGGGAATTTTCCCCAGGATCCTAGAATTGCATCAAAATAAGGAAAAAATGCATGGGTTAAGGGTTGTACAGGTAATACAACACCTCCTTCCTATGAATAAATATAAAATCCTAGACCCACAGAATGGTTTGGGTTGGAAAGCACCTTAAAGCTCATCTGATTCCTACTTTATTCTAATGAAGTAAAATAATTGGATCTAATTTATTTTAAATGAGATCCAATTACCATTTCCCAAAGGACCAGCGTGTTTAAAGGGAAATCCCCAAAGACACAAAATCTGTGTGGTTTATGTGAACAACACAGCAATTACTGATTTGCCCTTTACTCTCCAAGGACCAGGCTGAGCCAACACAAACCCCTGTTTGTATGTAGAGGTTTCTTAGATTCAGGCAAGAAAATCCAAGAGTCTCTTTCCCATCCATTACCCCAAAATCTTTCCTCTATAAAGCCACATGACATTTACACTAAAAAAAATGGTGTTACAAGATGAAAAATCTAGTTCAAATGGGGAAATTCCATATTGTCCTAGGATTAAGAAAAAAACAGCTGGAGTGTCACAGTTTGAGGCAGGGGCAAAGAATGGTGTTTTCACTCTTCTGCCACAAATTTATTACCAATATGTAATGCACTTTCCTATCCTAACAAAATTTTCTATCTATTAAATGTTATGTGACAAGAAGATTTAAAGCTCTTAGTCTGCCACACAAAGGAGTGTTAGCAATAATTACTTCCCTTTTGATTATCTCCAAGTAAAGAATGTGCCAGCTGTTGAGTAGGTGATTTCAGAGCAGGGCACTTGGTAGTAAATACAGAGTATGAAAGAAAGAAGCCTTAAAGAGGCAAGAAATTCCTACTGCAAATTAAGAACAGACCTACCTCAGGCACTGAGGGCTTTGGGCCACCTACAGGAACAGAAGAATGTTCCTTCCCACTCCCCACTATCTTCACTTCTAACAATAAATGTAAGAAAGCAAAGAGTTACTAACTGTTCTTGAGATGACATCTTTGGAGATTTTGGACAGCCCAGAAAGAAAACCTTAGAAGAAACTAAGGGAAAGAAGAGAACCTTCTAACAGAAAATGAATGTCCTGAGAAGCACAGCAGTTGTTTGTGGAACATCCTTTCCCTGGGTGTTTCCTGAGGTTTTAAGAGGCAGAGGAAACACAGCTCTGTAGTACCAGTGCTGAAGGCTGGTACAGAGAACCCCCAAGCTCTGTCTGCCTTCAACACCCTGGCACTCCTCACCACACCCACCACCGTGCCTCAAGTCTCCAAACACAAACCATTTGCATCACACTCTGCAGAGTCCAGCATGGGAAGGAAGCACAAAGAGGAGGAGGGGGAGAAAAAGGGAAAGATTCCCACCTATGTGATTGGCTGGGTATTTACAAATTTGAGTTCAAGCACTGCAGGTGAAGTTTTCAAGGAAAAACATGGGTGGATGAAAACAGCAGAGGGATTCACTGCTAGAGAATGAGAAAATCTGAAAACCCAGCTGGCGTTTATTCCAAGTTTACTTATGCTTGGAGAAGGAACAGAGCACTCCAATAATAAACACCATTATTTGGTTTATCAGCTTAAAGCACACAACTTTACCTCTTGAGTCAATCGAGTCTTGTTTTCCTTGTTGCTTTTTCATTTCTTTGCACATTACTGAAATATCTGCCACTGACAAGTCTTCCTTAGCATCAAACCAATACTCACTTCCTTCCTCATTTTTTACACAGCCTTGGCAGTTGGGATAAAATTCAAGTGTTAAAGTTTAAATCATGGTATGCTACATAAATGAGTATCAAATTTCTGTGCTGAAGAGGATTTCAGCTGCTTACATCTCTTGGTGTTTACATTTCAAAGAGATAACACTGCTAGTTTGGAATTCTAATTTAAGTAGAAACGTGTTTTTAAGATGTGATTAATATAGAGCTATTATTACTTATCAATAAATTGTGACAGCTGATATATAACTTCACAGAAAGGGCAGCTTGTTACCATATACAAGTTTTACACAGGGTTTCTTTCCTCCCCTGAGAACTCAGCTCACAAATAAAGGATTATTATTTTTATGAGGAGCAGATCACTCACCACGTTCCAGAGCCTGATCTTTAAGTTGCTCTTCCCACACCTCAGGGGAAGCAGAGTCACCTGGCTGATCACCAGCAGTCTGTGAGGTGTCCTACAAACACATTTCAGTTATAGCACAGCACTCCCACCTGACTGTAAGTTATTTTTCAGAATATCAGCCCACGAAGCAGGTGAATTTTAAAAAGTTAATTGCTGATCATCCTTAAGAACCCCCAGGTTATTTTATCTTGAAAGGGCAATTAAAATGGTGAACATATGAGCTGCATTTGCAAGCAGTGGCAGAGGATCCCAGGCTGAGAGCCCTGAAGACTCTGATCACATCTGCAGGTACCAAAGGAGAAAATACTTCTCAACATTACCATCTCCAAAACCCAGGAGTGAAGGATTCCCTACCATATTGACAGAAATCCCCTTTTCTCGCTGTTTTGGTTCTTCAAAGTCAGCTTTCCCTTCACCTGAAAGATCACTAAAACACAGCCAAGAATTTTCATACAAAATATGGGACAACAATTTTAAGTTCTACAGTAATTTAAATATTTCCAGAAACTCACAGTAAAATTAACACAATTAATAACTTTTGGCTTTTTGCATTATATCTTAATAGTTTTCTGTGTGATGTTCAGATGTATTCCTTACAATCTGAAATCTTGTGCAACTTTGACTATTTATAAAAGAAAACAACTGCCTTTACCTTTTCTTAATTAACTTCACTCATGCCTAACAGGAAACTTCAAGCAGTCTCTAGCATTTAACCCAATTCAGTAAAAACTTTCTGCCAAATTTGTTTTCATCTCCACTTACAGAAAGTCACTGGATGGGGTTCCTGAACGTGTTCTATCAGGTACCTGCCTGAAAAAAAAGTTATTTTTCTATCATTCTTCATATCTGAATGATAATCTTGGCAAAGCAGCTCCATATAATCTCTTAATGTTATCTACATGCTTAGTATTATCTCTGCTGGCAGCAAAGTCTTTTTGGGTTTTTGTGGTGGGGGATTTTTTGAGGTTTTTTTTGTTGCTTAGTGCCATTATAACTGGAGACAAAGATTTTTAGTAGTGAAAGCAGGGAACCAGGAAAGTAACCTGTAAATTGATAACTTTTACTATAAAGATAGTAAAGACACTCCCCGCTTCCCATACTAGAACACCACAGAGGAAAAATGCCCTTAAAATAAAACCTATGCTGATCTTTCAGCTAAACAGCCTGAAACAACAAGATGCATCCTGAAATAAAGAAATTATAGGCTTAACATCTTATAAAGTCATTCTTCAGTTAACTTCAAAAGTACAACAACAAATGAAAACTACTTACTCAGAGTAAAGATTCTTTCTTAAACACTGTCAAAAAAAAAAGAGAAAGATTTATCTATAATTCTCTTAATTATAAAACAATTTATATTAAAACATAAAACAGTTAAGAAATTACCTTGGAGGGGATGTAAAAGGAAGAGAGTGGGGAAAACTTCAGCTCAACTGACAGTGGTGGAAGTTCATTTAAAGGTATGCCCATGCTTATTTCCCTTCTGATATTGCTGTAATTGTTGTCCAGTTCATCCAAAACCAACAGCAGAGATGAATATAACTCAGCCTTTTTCTCACAGCTATTAAAATATGGGCAAGAAAGCAACATCAGTTTAGACATTTCATTCATTTTACAACTTTTATGCCCAAAGATTTTACAGGATTTAAAGATTCCTCTACATTATACTATATAGAATATGAATTAACAACTGTATTGTGCATCACTTGAGTTGTATTCCTGGGAAGAAAGGCATATTTTGGGACTGTGAACACCACAAAAAAAAAAGGTTTGAAATAAGACTTAGGGGTCCTCTGGACAACACCACTAATTATAAACACCCCCAGAAGCTATGGATAGGATCTACCAGTAGCATTCAGCAATCTTTGCCTGATAACCAGTTACTAATTTTATTTTAAAGGACATTAAAGCACGTGCCTCCCGAGACAGGTGTTCTCCTCCAAAGCCAGCTCATACACCTTCAGGCAGTGCTGGTAGCACATCTCATAATGGATGGCCAGGAGCTGCAGCTCTGCTTCAGTGGCTCTCTGCAGGACATTCTGACAGCAGCTGGATGCAGAAATATTCCCAGTTTGCTTGTTGGGATGTTCTGGCCTTTAAAATAGTAATAACAGTAACAGAATATTTATTTCGGGGCTTCAAAATTTTGTTTGTGGTGTTTTATTCTGAAGCAAGGAGGTTGCCAGAAGCTATTTCTGATAAGATTTAAGGAAAATCCTGTTTAGCCCATAATAATGATTGTAGCATTGCAATCAGTTTTATCAGAGGTGAGAACTGCACAAGAACCATCATAATTTTTACCCAAAAAGCGAAGCCTTAAGAACAAAAATAAATTTGGCAACACTGTAGATCTGCAAACACACTAATTTTGTTTCCACAGCCATGGAATAGTTTAGGTTGGAAAGGATCTCTGGAGGTCTGTAACTGCAGAACAAGGCTGCTCTGATCTTTGTTCAGCTTCAGGAAGTCTTCAGCTCACTCTTCTCACCTGTCCAGGAGGAAACTTTCCAGCAGAAACTGCTGCCCAGCAAGCTTTTAACACCATCAGTTTTGCCAAGCCACAGACCTTTTAATCATGGAAAAACCTCTGATCCAGAATCTCGATTTCCCAAACCAAGAACAACTCCTGACCCACCTGTCAGGGCCTGGCATCCAGTCACAGACAGACAGATGATCTTTGGATTCCTGCTTTTCAAAAAGAAAAAAAAGAAGTCAAAACTTGCAGATTAACACCCATGCAGACAAGTTAAAATGAACAGAAGTTCTATCAAACTGGTCAGGTGTCCCTTCTTGTTTTGTGTCAGTTACCTGCACGTGTGAGCTGAGAGCTCCTAAGGACCATTCCATGTTGGAAGCAGCATCCACGGAGGTTTGAGCCACGGGCTGAGTTCTGCTCATCGTGGTTACCTCAGTGCTCCCTGCCCTGGAGCAGACACAGCCCTGGGCACTGCTGCCTCTGCTCGCTGGGAGGGCAGCTCTGGGATCAGAGCCAGCATCCACAGCCACACCGGGAACGCTCTTCAGGGCTCCAGCACGCTCCGACCTCCCAGCCCCGGAGCTGCCACCACAGGATCCACCTGCAGCTTCCCTGCCAGCACCAGGGAGGGTTTCAGGGACTGGGGGCTGGGTTTCAGCACCCTCTGCAGTGCTGCTGGTGCACACGGCAGGTTTTTCACAGCTGCTGCAGCACGGGGGCTCTGCGTGCTTGCAGAGCTGGGCCTCTTCCCTGGGAGGCAGGGAAGGAATGTCCGGCTCCACTGCCACGCTGTGGGGGGGTCTTTGGATCTTTCCAGAATCTTCTGCCCCTGCTGTGATGCGGGGTGGCACTTTGTCACCAAGGAGTGGCGTGGCCTTCACCTCTGCAGCCTCTCCCTGCTCAGAAAGCTCGCTGGAGTTGCTCCTGTCCTCCTCGCACTCCTCGTGAGCACTGAGGTACTCCAGCTGAGAGTCCTCCCCTAAATCTGCTCCCAGGCAGGAGGTCTGAGTGAAGCAGCTCCTTCTGCTGCTGTCTTCCACTTCCATGGCTCCTCCTCCTCCTCCTCAGGAATCCACACCACTCACTGCCACTGCAACCTCTCAAAGTCACTGGTGTGGCTCTTCCCACCTTAAAAAAATTTAGAGAAGTTCAAGATGCTCCATAGTATACAGAAGGACAAAAAAATACATCAAATTAACCATCCTATTTTCACCTACTACAGTAGGTACAGGAATCCTACAGCACATTCCTAAAGAAATCCCAAGAGCTGATTTCTGAATTGGTGGAATCCCTGTGACATCATATAGCATGCAAAGTGTTCAAATAAATGTTCCTTATAGCAAGGAAGAGGTGAACTTTGAGCTCTGTGCCTCCCAAAAACTAAAAACCCCTTGGGTGTTGGACAAGGGGGAAAATCAAAGCACATTCCTCTTAATTCTGGGGAAGCAAGAAGAAACTTACCAGGGACAAATCCCTAAGAAAACCTGAGAATCTTTACAATCAGAAAGTTGCAAAGGAACACAGGAAGGTCATTTAGCAATAGAAGGAAGCTGGCCAATTCCCCAGACTAAAGCAATACACCTGCTCTGAATTTGCAGCAAACCCAGTTTGGTAACAAACACCAACAAAAAGCAGAGAGAAAGCATGCAGGGATGGAAGATGCTCTTTGTGAAGCTTGTTTCTTAGAAATATTGTCAATTCTTTTCTGCCTTCCCTCAGAAGCTTCCAACAAAGAAAGGAATACATAAAAACATTAGCCATATTTCTCAATAACGTCTGCTTTCTAAACCATTTAAATGACACATCCCAATTCCAGTCACTGTCTCTGACAGCCCTTCCCAGGGGGGTGGGGAGGAATAAGGATTAATATTCAAATGTTCATATATTCAAGCCTTGCACTATCCCAGGCTGCTCCAAGCCCTATCCTACCTGGTCTTGAACACCTCCACGGTTTAATTATACACTTCTACAGCTATTTTTGCCTCAAAAACATTGTCCTTTTTTACTACATTAACTTTACTTTCACCCCCTAGCTGAAGCCTTGAGCAACTCCGTGGAATTAAAAAGCCAAGCACCGCCAAAGCACATCCCAGATGCCTGCACAGAAATCACAGCGTTATTGTCGCATAGAAGCGACTTTTCCCTTGAGGACAGGAACCAAAACACCTCCACGCCCCAGCTAAGGCACAATAACCCCCCTATCGCTGCTAGTGACACGACCAAACGCCGAACCACAGCCGAGCCGGCTGAGGGCGGGGGAGCCCTGAGGGCAGCGCCCGCGGGGAACCCTCAGGCCGGAGAACGGCGACTCACCGCAGCTCCCGGGCCGGCTGAGGGCGGTCCCACCGCCCACACGAAGCCCGGGCCCGCTCCGCTCGCGGTCCGTACGAGGCCCCGGGCCCGCTCCGCCCGCAGCCCTCACGGCCCCGCCACACGCGCGCCCAACGCCCGCCGCCGCGCCCCGCGCTCATTGGCTGCGGCGCGCAGCGCTCCGACGCCTGATTGGCCGGAGCGGAGCCCGCTCCCGCCGCGGGCAGCTCCTCCCCCTTTCCCTCAGAAAGCGGGGCCGCCGCGTCCCTCCGCAGTCGGCGCTGTTGTGTTCCCTCAGACCCAGTACCGCCATAACACCCCAGAATCCCCGGTACCGCTGCATCCCTTCAAATGCAGGGCCGCGGTGTCCCCTTAGAGCCGGTGTCGCCATATCCCCTTAGAAGCAGTACCGCCGTATCCCCTCAAAGACCCTTTTCTCCCCTCATGGTCTCTTTCCCCTCACGGTTGCTCCTCTCCCCTCACGGTCCCTTTTCTCCCTTTGCGGACCCTTCTCTCTCCTCACGGACGCTTCTCTCCCTTCACAGTCCTTATGTCCCCTCACGGACCCTTCTCTCCCTCCATGGTCCCTTCTCTCCTCTCACAGTGGCTTCTCTCCCCTCACAGACCCTTCTCTCCCTCCATGGTCCCTTCTCTCCCCCCACTGTCCCTTCTCCCCCCTCACGAACCCTTCTCTCCCCCACTGTCCCTTCTCTCCCCTCACGAACCCTTCTCTCCCCCCACTGTCCCTTCTCTCCCCTCACAGACCCTTCTCTCCCTCCATGGTCCCTTCTCTCCCCCCACTGTCCCTTCTCCCCCCTCACAAACCCTTTTCTCCCCCCACTGTCCCTTCTCTCCCCTCACGGACCCTTCTCTCCCCTCACAGACCCTTCTCTTCCTCCATGGTCCCTTCTCTCCCTCCATGGTCCCTTCTCTCGCCCCACTGTCCCTTCTCTGCCCTCACGGACCCTTCTCTGCCCTCACGGACCCTTCTCTGCCCTCACGGCTCTCCCGCCGCCGAGCACTGACAGACCAAAGCACAGCCGGCAGGGAGGAAGTGCAGCAGCTCTTGTACGGCTGCCACAGAATCACAGAATTATCCTGTGCTGCAAGGATCATGGAGTCCAATCCCCGGCCCTGCTCAGGACACCCCACTAATCCCACCCTGTGCCTGAGAGCATTGACCAAACTCTGGCAGCTCCTTGAACTCTGCTTTGGGGCTGTGATTATTGGCTGGGGAGCCTGTTCAGTGCCCAACCCACCCTTTGAGGGAAGAACTTCTAATATCCAGCTCTAACCTCCTCTGGCACACATTAAAACCTACCTGAAAGTTTCCAGCCTGAAGGAGCATGTTACAGGAGCACAGACAAACCTACCTGCCACACAGGTCCATGTTACTTGTGCAAGGGGCTCTGCTTCTTCATTAAAACACATGTAAAGGTCATAACGAAGTGTGTAAAACATCACTCAGTTACCTAAAATTAACCTTCAGAGACATACAATGGTTTAGAGCACCTAAAGTGAAGACAAGCACTACACTCCTGCCCAGTCTCTTTCATGTAAGTGACAGCTTTGGCAACACATCAGGGCAAGAGGACATTTAATACTAAAATAACATATTTTTAATGAACCAAGCTGCCTCTTGTTGTGAAGGAGTCTTCATGAAGGATTTTTCCAGGGAAAGCTACTGTGTGGATTACCTCTATGTTCACCATAAATAAAAGTGGAGAATTAATCCAATTTGCAACATCATTGAAATTTCTCCTGATGGGGGACTGTCCCTGTCCTCCCCAAGAGCATCTGGCCATTAAAATGTCAAAATTTGGAGGTGTATGTGCACTCTGACACCAAAAATGTTGATAACTGGAGGTTATGTCTCACACCAGGGTCCTCAGTCACACAAGCCCCTGAATCTGTACATTTCCCAGCCAGTGTTGCTCATGTTCTGTGTGATCCTGCAGCAACGTGTTGAAAAGGAAAATGAGCTGCTACACCCACATCGCCCTGAATTTTCTGTGTTTTCCAAGAGAACTTGTAACATCAGCATGGACAGACCACTCCATAAAAACTACCCAAACAAGTGACATTTTATTGGCGAGTTCTGCTCATAATGAATTTCCTTTTCCACGCTCACACCTCCTAACAGAGCGACTGGGAGAGGGGGAAAAAAAAAACCCAACCAAAACAAAACCAAAACCATTTTGGGTAACATTCCATTTGCAAGCGATAAAAATCACGTAACATTTAAAAATAAAACAGAAGATAACAAATTGAAACAGAAGTTGTAGGAAAACCCATCCTGGTTCCCCCAGGAGCTGTTCCTCGCCCGGCTGCCGCCACCTCGGCCCCGCTCTCAGGGTACCGAGGTGCTCTCGTTTGGAGCTCAAATAATAGGACTGGGACATGTGCTGTGATCACCGTTCAAAGCCCTGTTGTTGTACATTCTTCACAGAAAAACAGAGAACAGTTTGCAGTAAACCAACCAGTTCTTTTTCTTCCCTTATTCTAACGCTAAGTCATACTGAAAGTCGGGGTGGGGGGGGAAATGTGGCTTCAACATTCACCTACTTTATCACACACAAAGGTTTCTACTAAGAGCATATCCAGGTTGAAATACACATCTGATTTCCGTCATGAGGTTGATGCTTATGGGGTGCGAGATGAAATCTACTTCAAAATTATAAACACATCCCTTTTTTATGAACAAAGTGTTGTTTTTTTTGCCTTTTGGACCAACGCTTGGTTGCTGGGTTGTTTCTCCTGAGCAGCTTTCACTGCTGCCACAAATGAAATGATGACTGGTGGCAATCACACACCTTACCATTGGTAAGATGTCATATTTAGCACATTTGTTTGCATTCTGAAAATCCCTTTGCTCGTTTTTTTTAGGCCCCCGAGGCTTTGTACACCAGAAATTACACAAGTCATGCACAGAAAATTGTAAATTGGTATCCACAGCCATTTTGAGGTATTCCACAAGAAACCTGGCTCTGCACCTGAATGTTCCTCTCAAAAACAATTTAAAAAACCCCAAAAGCCCAAAGCCCTAACTGGAGTGGAAATTCAATTTTAAAAGACTCCTTCCAACCCCATTTCACCACATTTCATCAACAAGGACATAATTCCCCAGGGGCATAAAAAAAAAAGCCTTCTTCATCCTTTTCCTGGAATAATAATTTCAGTACTTCATTCCTAAATTTTCCTTGTGCACTTGGAAGAGATGAAGACGAGGGTGTTGCTTCCTAGCCAAACCAGAGAAACACATTCAGACAGAGGATTTGGTTTACTGAATTTGTAAAGGTGCTCGAGGAAGATACCAGCGATCCCTGTGCGTTGGGAATAGCAGCGGTTCCTGCTCTAACCTCCCGCCTGCGAGGAGGAGGCTGGGGAAAGACCTGGACTGCAGGGTCTGAAGACCAAGTTAGGAAGAAATGTGATCTCCTGGGCGTGGATTTGGCTTGGTAGAACATCTTGAGGCAGGCACGGCCGCTCCCGAGGGGCAGGAGACGCCTCTCCACCGCGTGAGCAGACGGCAGAGGGACTGGCATTCCTGTTAGGGCTGAGGTGGGACGGGCAGCTTTGTTCCTGGGCTAGCTGCTGCTCTCCTTTGAGTAGTACATTCAGAATGAGTTCCGATGAACCAGAGCTGTAGTGCCAGTCATGTGTCATTTTTACACACGCAAGAATCGCCTGCAGCACCTCCCCGGGTCACGCTGTTCTGCGTGAGGAGTGGAAAACCTCCGCAGCGATCCTTTCAGAAGGAAAGAACTCGCTACTTCCGTAGCTGTAGAAAACACATAGGCAGTAATATTTTCTAAAGTGCTTCTTTACTTAGCAGTTATTCCTTTAAAAATCAGACTTGTATTTTGTAGCGGCATCGTTTCCTAGTAGGTCATGGACCAGTAGATAGTTTCTGATGTAAAAAACCCATTACATATTTTGTTTTAGCAAATGACACTTGCTTTGATAAATGCACCAAAGAGAGTGACCCAAGTGCAAACCCCACCATTTCTGAAAACACGGCCTTATGCTGGTTTATTAATGCAACCTTACATCCTTTAAAAGTCATTTACTTCAACTCCAAGAGCAGGGATTAAATAATACAAATAAAAATCGAAAATTCAATGAAGCTATTGCCTATTTACCCTGAAATAAAAGAGTCTCACGATTCTACTGGTGCAAAAATCCCTCCAAACACATTTGTTTTATTGGCAAAGTCATTTAAGGTCACTTTTGCTTCCAAGACCATCTTCTTCCATGGTTTCCACTGAAGGAGTTTTGCTTTGTAATGGCTTGTGGTTCCACAGTGATTTGTAAATGAAAAACCTACTATGAATAACTCTACCGTAGTCACTAAATTACAGATACTGTCATGAGAAAAGTCCCAAACTTACAGTGTTTGTTTTAAAATTTTCAGCAAGACACAAAAATTCCAGTCAAAGTGTTTTTCTTTGAGTGCCATTTTAAACGGCAGTAAATGGCTGCTGCGCCCTCTGGATGGAGAATTCCATGTGCTTCTTATGTGTAGTACTTCGAATGTCCCCAGAGCTCGGCGTGGAAGGGCTCCCGCGGGCACGGCCACTTGGATCAGCTCCTCCTATGGATGTAGTGCGGCAGGCTGGGATCTGCGCGGGGAGACGCCGGCTGGGAGGCACGGAGCAGGTGTTGGGGTGGCCTGGTCTCAGAAGGCGATGGCACGAAGCGTCCCGGGCAGCAGGACGCAGAAGCGGCGGCGGCGTTCCGGTTCCGAGTAGCGGTGGCTCCCGTGGGACGGGGTGGCTATTGCTGGGACAGCAGAGCGCTCCGGTTGGCCTTCATCTTCTCCAGCCGCTTCACCAGGTGGCCATTGCTGACCTCCAGCTCCTCCGTTTTGTCCAGTGCTGAACGAAGCTGAAGGAAGGAGGGAAGGAAGCAGAAAAACACCGTGACTTTCACCGTGTTACCCCTTTGCGAAGGCAAAGCAAGGTTTGTAGCTGCCAACGCTAACCGTCCACATTAACTTGGAACATAAAGGAGCTGAAAATTCCTTCAGCACAGTTAAACTGCTTTGCAGGCCACACACACTGGTGTTGAAGCACACTGCCCAGGGTATTTACAGAATGCTGAACAAACAAGGCCAAGG